TATTTCCTGGTATTTTAAATACTTATTTGTTTGGTATCAACAGAGGAGATCCATGCAGTTATGGGTGCACAGATATGCGGAGACCGGTGACGTTAAACATCGTCGACGTGGGCCTAAACCAAAGGCAAATTCATCGGCTCGGCACTACGACATCGTAGCCAGGCACATGGCTGATCCGTTCCTGCCAACCCGCACTACAGCGACAGCACTGAATGTTTTAATACAAACTGTACGGAGACACCTGCATTCTGGTTTAAGGTGCAGGAAGCCAGAGAAGAAAATATTGTTATCTGTGGTTCACCAGCAAAAGCGCTAAGAATTTGCTAAGGACTTTATTATTTTGATTGGGCGAACAGTGTAATCATATTGAGCGACGAAAAGACTTTCAAGTCGGATAAGGATGGGCGTAAAATATTGTGAAGAAAAGATGGAGAAAGGTATACGAATTGCAACCTTCTGCCTTGTAGGATCAGTGATTGTATTGATTTCGGAATCAATTATTGAGCCTGTCAAACTCTGCCTTTATTAAAATTAACATAAAATAATGTTTAATTTTTTTAAGAATATTAAAATGCTGTCTAGAACATACGGTGAAGTGATGTTATTGTTTTTGTGGTTAGAAATTGTCATAATTTCTTTCTATTCAACATGTTTATTCACTTCACTTTAATTTTTCATTAACAAATTTATTTAACTGCTTTCGAACTTGATTGACATATTATATTTACGCCCATCTTCAATTAATTTAAAGTTTCCCTGATTCTAAAGGTCATGAAAGTTAAAATCGTTCCATAGCATTCGTCACATTCTTTTTACTATCATACAGCCCACTGAATATTGAACCTTATAACAACCGTCGTAAAATAGATAATTAATGGAAGTTCAAACGACAAAAAGTCGCCCATTTCAAGAAATATTATGTTGACAGTGTAATTTTTTACATGTTTTACTTGTTTATTACTGTAAAACTGTAATTTAATAATACATTATATTATTAAATTACAAAACAAGAATGTTGTATATTTGTTTATTACCTACTTAATAAAAAATGTTGCTGCCATCGTATTACCGCTGTACCGCATGATATTTCCCGATTCGACTATGAGGTTTATTGTCATATCTATTAATTATGATTTAAAGAACTTTAAACTTAACATGTGGTATATAATTAATTATTAGATATAAATATTGAATATAAAACAACATATTTGTATAATAAATAAATTAATTGTAATAAAAAATAGTATTGTTTTATTTACCAACTCATTTGCTTCTTTTATAGCCTGATATTTATATTTTATGACAAAAAAAAAAAAAATAAGAAAAATAACAAGGTAAAATAAAATTAACTTTTAGCTGGAATAGAACCCACATCATTGATCCTTGAAAGACGATAAAAGCGTGCTCATTAACCAATCGACCACGAGCACTACGATAATGACAGTGAAAATGTCGGGTCATATCAATGATTGTAAATAGTTTTAACCTTACCTATGCATTAAATTATAAAAATACGTATACCGACACAAGAATGAAAATACCAATGTGAACGTGGTGGACGAATATTTTTATATACAGTTATATGAAATTACGCACACATGTACACTGTGTAAATGACAGTTGTGTCGATGTGTAGCGCTGCAACTAATTAGCGGTGCTTTGTGTACTTTTACGATATTTTTCGTCAACAATGCTATTTTTTTGGTAAATAGTGTTGGGGATCTTTGGAGGTAGAAGAAAATTTAGATCGGTATAAAAGGCGTGTCAAGTGCATAATCGCGCTCAATTCGTCAGACCGTCAATACGTTTGTCCTGGCAACCAACATTTCTTTGTTAATTTGAGGGTCAATAATTTTGTCACGATTATCTACTCATACATATTACATTTTTCTTTAAGTTTACCGTTGTATTTTTCTTCTTAAATCATAAGTTCTCACCTGTTTTCTAATAATACATAGTTGTATCGGATAGGATGCAAATGAGCAAATGAATCATGTAGTAGCAAGTTATTAATTTAACTTATAGAAATTCGTAACACTACAGAAGTTACTTTCATACATTTAAGAACCTCTTTCATCAAATTGAAACCCAAATATATTCTCTTCAAACAACGATTAAGGAGCGGACATCACTAATTAATACGCATCCTGATAATAACCTCTCACACGAGAGTATTAATTCAAATTGATGTAACTATCTATCCCGGGGCAATAGGATTACGTCCCGGGGTGCTGCAAATCGATTAGGGTACGGTCATTATTGGCTCTTGAGATGGAGGTTCGATTCTATAACATTGTTATATTGCGAGGCACATATAGACGGATCTAATGGATTGATGGCCTGCTCCAAATCCTGTGTAGTTGGTATTGTGCTAGGTAATCGATTTTAATATGTCAGGTCGATGTGTGTTAGTTGTGAACGTAAATGTGATTCTTTTAAGCGGTTGTTTAGAGTCTAGAGAGCAGTTGTTATATCGTCTTGAGTACACTATCCTAGCTTGAGTAACACTAGCAACCCGCACCTGCTTCACACAGGTGCAATATGCATGTATTATACATATAAATCCTTCCTATCCTTAACAATCACTCTATCTATTAAAAAAACCGCATCAAAATCAGTTGCGTAGTTTTAAAGATCTAAGCATACATAGGGACAGACAGACGGCGGATATCGACTTTGTTTTATACCAAATATACTCGTGAATCAGTATATTTTAGTACTTTCTGATCTTTGTCATCCTGATATGCAACCTAAGCAAACGTATGCATCTATGCGAATCGTACTATTGGGATTAAGTAGACGAATGTGTCTAATTTTTCCTTCTTCTTCTACTTTTATCTTTTATTCTTTTTTGATTATGAATAATTGTTATGAAATATCTGCTACTTACTTAATGAAACTCTTCGTAATAAAGACATTTCCTATACATTTCATTAAAAGATTATACATCGTATTTAAAATTGAAGCAAAGCTATAATAATTCCTGGCGAAAAGACATCGCGTGTTGTGTAGTTGTCGCATGCGGCCGGAAATATGGCAGGGAATGTAATTTCAACCATGGAAGTTAAATATCTAAAAATTCTAGAGGATTTTGTACTGTATTGCCTTATAACAAATCGTTTTGTTATTTTTAATGGACTTTAAAAATGAGGGTATCAGTTTGATCTATATACATTACATAACATCACGTCTTTTGTCCCTGACGGAGTAGGCACAGGTGCACATTGCGGCACTTATTGCCACTGTACAATGTAACACCCCCTTTTCACTATTTATGTTATGAGTCCCATGTAATAGGGGGTGAACCTATTGTCATATACCAGACACATTTCCAAACTCCGTGCTACTACTGAGATTTTTAAAAACCCAGTAACACTTTGCCCGACCCGTGAATCGAACCCGAGACCCCTTGCCAGGCAGTCGCACTAGCGACCACTCGGCCAATTTGGCAGTCCTATTTGTTTGACCTATATGTGTGTAAGATTATTGGAATTGTATAATATTTAAGTATGGTGATCTATTTAAGCTTCGGAGCACGTGTGCTTTTTTAGATGTATGTTTGTACGCGAATTTCTCGGAATCGCTATTAGGTATGTAGACTTTTTTGACGCGACTCGTGACACGGTTACTGATAGATTGATGACAAAATAAGTTGGTTATTTATTGCGAAGATTCGCAGAGGTGTGTACTGTTTATTTTAATATCATCTACCTACTCGCTACTTTACATTTATGTCAGAAAAAGTTTGTTAAAAGGAACGTATTTTCTCATTTTCAGACGTCTAACAACGTCTAAAACGATTTAAAATATACTCGCCACGGTTTATAAAATAGAATCTCATTCTCGTTTAATCTGTCAAACACCAAGCGGTCACCGGTGACCGCAACCTATTGTTCTTTAATTGTGTCTATAAAACCGGTACTCGACGAGTTAATTAAAATTTCAATCGACAGTATTTAAATAACAAATCCATGGAATCGTTTACCTAGAGCTCTATTTATAACATTTTTTCGTAACAAAAAAGGTACTAGGACTTGATTTAGTTAGAAAATTATTACATAAACCGTCACAAACATTTTAACCCTTGTTTTACACAGAAAATTACAAGGGCGAATAATTACGAGCGTTTCAACTAACTCTTTGAAACCATTGAAGTTTAATTAAGTATATTTATAATTAAACCTGAAAGTAATTAACTTATACCAAAGAAAAATACTCGAATACCAAGTGGAAGCCTGTTTAATTACGACCATATAGATGTTTCAAACCTCTTTAGAGTTTTTAATAGAAGTTAAACAAAGTATAATTTATGTTAAAAGTTTTGGTTACGAGCCCTCTATTAATTTTCTTGGGGTCGAAACCAATTCACGATGTAGGTCTTCCTTCATATTTTCCTGTTCTAAAAGAGGTAGTTGTAGTATACGGCGTCCTCCCTCCAGTTAAGCCGAGTGACGAAAATCGGGCTCTCGACCTATTGGAGAGGTTTTTGTTGATCATTGAACGGAAACGAACTGATATTTTTTATGGGATAAGCCGGTAAACGAACACACGGATCACCTAATGGTAAGCAATCGGTGTCGCCTATATACACCCGGAGCTCCAGAGCCGTTACAAGTGCGTTATCAGCCTTTTGGGGATTAGGATTTTGAGCATTGTTGGGGGCCCCTCACTCACATGACGAAACGCAACACAAGCGTTGTTTCACGTCGGTTTTCTGTAAGGCTGTGGTATCACACCGGTCGAGCCGGCCCATTTGTACTAAAGCATGGCTCTCCCACGCTTAATTATTTATATAACATACCATGAACTGCATTATTAAGTGTCAAGGATTTAGACTTAAAATTAACTTATATGAACAATCGCAAGTTTTCGACCGTGACAGAATATTATAGTCTCAATCTCACAATATGTTCTTGTAGAAAATTTGGTTCGTTAATAACACAGTTTAAAAATACGGCAGCTATTATTTGGACGACATTTTTTTTGAAACTGTCGTGACCATGGTAATGAGAGTTTCGCCTGACATTCAGCTAAATATAGATGGAAACAACTAGAGCCGTTATTTTAAGGTTTCTTTCATTGTTTGTAATTTATCGGGTCGTCCTTACACAGTACAGGGATTAATTGGACCGTAGGTAGCTTTGTTATATAAGGAACCGTCGCGAAGTTGAAATTATGATGTTAAATTATTAATAAGTCTTTTTTAAAACTTTGCCCCACACTAGGATTTTATCCTGTATCGTGGGTGCGTTTACAAACATACAAGTTCACATACACATGACACCCAGACCCGGAACAACAGTTTGTGGATAACACAAAGAGTTGTTCCGAGTAGGAATCAAACCCGCGACACACGTTGCGTGGCAGCCGGTTGCCCAGCCACCACACAAACCGTGTTGTCTTGTGTCTATGTTAAATTATGTTGTTTTATACAATCAAAATCATACGTCATATAAATTGTTCACATAGTACGACCTTCAAACCTTCAAGAAAAGAGCGTATTCCTTTTTTAAGGGCCGGCAACGCGCCTGTGACTCCTCTGGTATTGGAGCCATGGGGTGTCCATGGGTGGCGCTGATCACTTACCATCAGGTGATCAGACGGATCACCTGAACGCTCGTTTGCCTCCTATTCCATAAAAAATACGTACCTTATAACCGTACTTGTATAAAGTGCTTGTATACATTCTGTAGGTTATACAGAAAGAAGTGTGTAGAAGTAGACCACATTTCTGTCTACTTCTAGACACACACACACACATACACAACACACACACATACACAAGCTTCATCACAAACTTTCGAATTTGTAATATTATATTAAGTAGGATAGTAGGATATACTCTCTCAGATAATTAAGAACGATCCTTTCTTTTCCAGTTGCAAATCGAGGCAGGTGCCGGCGAAGGTCCAGGTCCACCAGTGAACAATAACTCGGAGGGTGCAGTGGCCAGCCCCCCTCGTGATGACAACCACAACGCGCAGCAACCACCCCCTGTCTCACCCAGGGCCAGACCACTCACTCCTGCAGGTAAGAAGTATATAGAAAGGACCTTAATACAAGGTCGTTATATCTTTCTAAAGAGTCGAACTAATAGTGAAGAAAATGAGTGGTGATTTGATTAGCTGGTGTTTTAATCCGTGGCTTGCAGGAACCTCGATCCAAGTAGGACATTCATACATTACAATAATTTTATTGTCTAATACCTTTTTTATTAATTTTGATTATATTAATCTAACAAAATGCCCTTCCTCTCTCCTAAAAATTTTAAATATTGCTGTGCCGGACAGGGTCCATAATTGTTACTAATTATATTTTCTAACCACCTGTATATGTACATTATGGATGCAATAAATACTTGATTACTTGACATAAAGTATATATTTTCTATTGTGTCTCATATGTATCTATAGGTACGGGTCGAAAACAGTTATTTTTTGAGAGGTCTCAGATCTTTGTTGTGTCATGTGATATGTAACAGAAGTGCATCAGTAATAAAGGACTGTATAGGTATAAGGCTTTAGGGAACAGAGTGTACAGTTCCCTGAGATCGAAAAAGGAGGATCCCCCGACCAGCCGAGGTGATCGTGCCTGGCGGGCTTTCTTCCCAACAGTTGTTCGTTGGGATTTTCTATCCGTATTAACTCGCATGTAAACTTTGCATGTGCGATGTAGGATTCTTGTGAAGTCATTTGTTGATTTATTTTACATCTTGTTGTTTGACTGCACGGTTGGTGCGGTGGCTGGGCAACCGGCTGCCGTGCAACGTGTCGCGGGTTCGATTCCCGCACGGGACAACACTTTGTGTGATCCACAAATTGTTGTTTCGGGTCTGGGTGTCATTGTGTGTGTGAAATTGTATGTTTGTAAACGCACCCACGACACAGGAGAAAATCCTAGTGTGGGGCAACGTTTTTTTTTTTAAAAAAAATCTATGTGCGTGGGCTGTCATTTAATTTTGACATGTGACATGTGTTGCCATATGGCTAAGGACGCTCGGCGCGATTTGCTACCGCAAACGCTACGGTTGCTGGCCTGCAGCCTTTATAGAATATAGATATGTCTGTTAAAAATCAAAGCAATTTTTCACGGCGCGTTTTTTTGCCCGCGGCGGTTGCGATTGTTTGCGGCTCCCGCTGCACTGGAACGCGCGCCCGCGGCGGCTACCACCCGCGCGCTCTGCGATCGGTTGGCGGGCGATCTCAACGGGACATCCGGTCTGGAACTTAACTAATTTATATTCGCTCGTCTTGCGAAAATCTACCGCTATGTTTGCGGGCGATAACCGCAACCCCGGCTGCGGGATCCCAGAAAACTGTGGTTTCGTGAGTTTTTAAAATTCCGCCTCCATTCCGCCATGGTGGCGGGCACGGGTGAAGACCGCGCCGTAAGCCTTATCCTTACTTCCTTACTAATATTATAAATCGGAAAGTGAGTTTGTTTGTTTGTTTGTTTGTTTGTTTGTTCCGCTTTCACGCAGTTACTACTAAACGTATTGCTTTGAATTGTTACAGACGTAAAGTTCAAAGTCCGGATTAAATAATAGGGTACTTTTTATCCCGGAAAAATTTGATATTCCCGAGGGAAAACAAAAGTATTGGTATAGATGGTGACTGTTTGTATTGGTATATATCACATAGGCTACTTTTTATCCTTTCGTGACGTGAGCGAAGCCGCGGGTAAAAACTAGTAGTTTATAAGTTAAAGTTTGGTGAAAGATAGAATGACAGCAGCGGTGTCTTAATATTAGGATTCCATTTCGGTTCTTTGCGTACGGAGTCCTCAAAACCGTGATCGTGTTGCTATATTAGTATATCAGTATTCAAAAATAAAGACATTCGTACTCCTTTCTGTTTGTCTATTTATGGAAACAGTTCATGACGGCATATTAACCCAATTTCTAAAATTAGATATAAATTATGCATGTTGACTGCTTTCCCGTGCCGACACGGATTGATATTCAGTGGTACGAAGCATTCGCTTTGAAGATTTTAATACAAATCTATTTGAGGCTTTTTCTTTGTGTTCGAATGGAGATTCGAATGGAGAAGAACGAGCAAGAAACTCCATTCGTTACTCTTTTTAAAAAAGTATATTCTACAATGTCTCTGATACATATTTCAATACTGTACGCATATGTAAGAACAATGCAAAGACACGCTTGACGCATTATACTAATTTTTATTTATTTATTTATTTGCTCACATATGCATACTGACAATCCATAGAAATAGTGCTTCTATACAAGAAAAAGGAACCTAATTTGAATGTCATGTAATTTTCTATAGGTGAATAGTTTTTAATTGTCAAAATCATCATGGCGGCGTTCTCAGTCCACGTTCCTATAACAAACTCCGTTCGTCCTTCCACCAGTGACGTCGTAAGCAAGAGAAACAATAACAAAGTATCAATGGGGGTGTACAATAATATTATATTAGAAACACGATATATTTGCCCACCCAGCCAAGCTAATATAGCTCTTCACACAATGCTAATAGTGCCCACACTCCGATACATTTCCCGCCAATCATCGTAAAATGTTTGTTGTGGGATGTTGTTTGGTTTGTACCAAAATATTGCGTTATAGGAAATAAAAGGGGTTATTTGTCAAGGCCAGGCTATTGTTTTGTAATGTATCAATAAGTTGGAGTCAATCTTAAGTGTTTCTTATGGGAAATAATGTCACTATTTGATAGAGTAATATAAGTGTAGAAGAGCCGTGATTCGGCACGTATGGGCTGGCTCGACCGGAGTGATACCACGGCCTCACAGAAAACTGACGTGAAGTAACGCTTGCGTTGTTTCGTCGTGTGAGTGAGGTTACCGGAGGCCCATTGCCAATTAATATAATATACATAACATAACATCACGCCTTTTATCCCCGAAGAGGTACGCAGATTATGCCACTGTACAATGTAACACCCACTTTTCACTATTTAAGTTATGAGTCCCATGTAATAGGGGGTGAGCCTATTACCGGACACAATTCCAGACTCCGTGCTACTACTGAGAATTTTTTTAAACCCAGAAATAGCCCGACCCGGGAATAGAACCCGAGTTGAATATAATATAATCAATTTATTAAGGCGGTAGTTAGGTATTGATAGGTAGTAGTAAAAAGGATTGCTGAATATCCTTATTAGGTACTTTAAGATAGTAATAAAATTCAAGGTATAATTGATCTGACACCGCGCGGTCACCTATGTTAGCAGAGGATTTGCCTTCAACAATTTTATGTAACAACAAAATCAAACAATAAACAATCCAAGTTAAGATACAATCCACAACTGGTTAAACTCAATAATGATCCTAAAAATCCGAAATAATTGGAAAACGTGGAAAGAAGGAAATGTTGGTATTTTACTTTATTAGGTAGATTTACCAATCTCTACTGGCCAATTACGGCTGAAAGACGGATAGGTACGTTCCTTCAGGGTAATCCTGAAAAAAGTGATCTCAATTTGTTTTTCATTTAGTAAGGTTTCTATTGTGAAAGATGAGATGGAGGAAAACAATGAATTTCGACGGAATTTTTCCCCAATTCATTATCCAAAGTTTTTGCGAATTTACGAACAAGAATTTTCGTATTTTTTTATCTCTATTTATTAGGATAGATAGCAATCTTTTTTTCTCTAGAGGAATGATAATAAAGAAAATATAAGTAGTTGATTTATTAATACACTTTTAGTAACAAAAAATTGTATACAAATATTTATACTGGCTTACATGTAAAAAGATCGTTGTTTTTAAGAGTTCTTGATTAGGTAGACGATAGATATTACTGTACTTTTTTTTGAGGGGAGTAAGTATAAGGTCCTCAGACGATCTCCCTTCCTATACTTTTTCCTATACTTCGGCGTAATGAAGATATTGCGGACAGTGGACAGATTCAAGAAAGTACCGGGTAAAAGATCAATGAGACTGCACTGTTGGCGCGGTGGCTGGGCCACTGGCTGCCGCGCAATGTGTCGCAGGTTCGATTCCCGCACGGAACATCTCTTTGTGTGATCCACAAATTGTAGTTCCGGGTCTGTGTGTTATGTGTATGTGAACTTGTATGTTTGTAAACGCACCCACGACACAGGAGGAAATCCTAATGTGGGGCAATGTTTTTTTTAATTAGTTTAGAATTTGGTACAGTCTTAATCAGGAAAACACATGGTTTGTGTTATATTTCCAAGCGATCAAAGTCGCCATATTGGGTGTGACAAAATTGTGTGCAATTGAAAGTTTAAAATCATGTTCCAAGAGTCTGATTTCCGTGCAATTTCCAAGGAATAATGTCTTAAAGTGTATCAGAGAGATTGCTCTCTTTTATTTTCTTTAGACATACTTATGCCACCAGCACATCAAGCTACTGCTACTCAACTTTCTTGAATAGAGTTTCAACCTTATCACTTTACAATGAAGTTGAAAATACCAAAATTGTTTTGAAAGTTCTCAATCTTTGTGAAAATCTAGAAAGGCGACGTTGAATTGAGTGAATAAAGTGTTGAATAAAATGCTTTGTTGCCTTCAAACTCAACAAGTCTTTGTCAAGTTGGGAGGTTTATTAAAGCGACTGCGAGAAGGAGTGACATCCGGTCAATTGTGTAGTGTGTATCTACTACTTAGCTTGCTTGGAGTGTGGTGAGTAGTTTTAAGAATGAAGAGCAATGAAAGATTGGTTAGTAGTTCATAATAGCGAAAGTGTCCATGAGTTTGATATCTTTTTGTTTGTTTCGTAAAGCTGTACTGTACCGTAAAAAACGATTTTTGCATTGCAAGGTTAAAATCAATGGTAAAAACAGAGAGCCCGTGTTAAAAACATTTCTATTCTTTACTTGACCAGAGCATCATGACTGCAATCTCGCTGACTTAACTGACTAACTGGATCTAGTGATCCGATCGCCGATGATAAGTCCTTAACCCCAAAAAGTAAAGTAAGGCAAGGACCAAACAATCAGCGGCAGAAAGATTTATAAAAAGAAAATCCTGATTCATCCGATCTAAGCCCAATGCTATTAGTTCGTACCATTAATCCTCAGGCG